AAATTAATCAAAGAGTAGTTATATATTTGCATATTTGTTGATGAATGTCTCAGTTTTAGGCCATACAGATATTTATTAATATTAATATGCTATTTTGTGCTGAGCTCTTAACTGTTTATCATAAAGCAGATCCTTAGAGTCTTGACCACATCCAGCAAGGGCATAGAAAATTGTCTAGGGGAGCTTGCAAACATGGTGATACCACATTAGGGTTTAAGGATTTCCTAACCCTTCTACAAAATTTACCTTACTGAAGAATCAGTGAATCGTTGTGAGGTTTTTTATGTTTGGCCAGAGAATGAATTGCACTTTCAGACAAACTTAGTATTCCAGTTGGAGAGCTTATTAGAATTAAAGCTTGACCACTCATTCTGGCTAATTGTGTAGTTCACTTTCAACCCCCTAGCCTTTTCTAGAATAGAGAATGTTGTCATTCCAATAAATAAATAAATAAATAAATATCGAGTACCTCCTTTGTGGCAGGTCCACACCAGGCACCAGAAATCCTGCAGTGAAGAAGCCAAGCAAAGTGTCTTTACACAAGGTGTTTACAGCCTACTTGGGGGGAGGGGCGGGGAACAGACTACTTATATAACCCTGAGGAAGTCAGTGAACACAAAGTGTACAAGATAATTAAGGAGCATGAAAAATACGCTAAGAAAAATAGGAAGGGGATGAGATCGAGTAAGTGGGCGAAGACACTTCAAGCAGTCATCAGGGAAGCCATCTCTGAGGAGGGAAAGAGTAGAGTAGCTGAACAACTGGGGGAAAGGCGTTCCAGGCATTGGGTTAAAGCAGAGTTAGTGAGGTCAAAGAGACTGGGGAATTTAACAAGAGAGTGAGGAAAGGACTAGACCCATCTTAGTGGGCTGGGAAGCCACTGAAGAGTTCTGAGCAGGAAAAAGACGTGATTTCTGTTTTTAAAATTTCACTTCGTCTTCTCTGTAAAATCCACTACAGTGAGAAGATGAGAGACCAGTTGAGAGACTATAGCGACAGATCAAGCCAAAGATGGGGTATGGAGTAGAGACAGACAAAAGCGACAGAACTCAGAATTTGTTTAAAAGTTTAGCCAAAGGAGTTGCTGGTGTACTGGATGAGGGTTATGAGAGAAAGGAAAGGCACAAGAATGATTCTTAGATTTTTGGCTCGAGTCACTGGATAAATCATCGTGCTGTTTATTAAATGGTAGAAGTCTGGAAGCTTAACCGGTTTGGGAACAAGAGTGGAGTTTTGAACATGTTAAGCTTCAGATGCCTGTTAGATATCCTGTAGCCATATAGAATTGCTACAACAGGCAGTTGGCTACCGGAATGTGGAATTCTGGGAGAGGTTGAGACTAGCGATTTAAATGTGGAAGTCGTCAGCATACATCTGGTATGTAAGGCAGAGGTGAGATCATATGGGAAGTGAGTTTACAGAGTGAACACAAAAGAGGCAAAAACTGAGCCCTGGGGTCCTGCAAGGTTTACAGTTCAGGTAAAACAGGAGCTTGCCAAAAAGACCAAAAAGATACAGCTGCTGAGATAGCAGAAAGGCCAGGTGCATGTGGCACTTTGTAAAACAGGTAAAAAATGTGTTTTATGAAGAAAGGATGATCAGCTTTTTGAGACTTTCAGAAATATCAGTATTAAGTCGCAAATTGATCACATGCCTCGTATAATTTAGGAAAGACAGTCCATGTGCATTAGTATTATATGTACAAACACACACAGCTAATATTTTGGGAGGTTGAGCAAAGAATTAAGCCCTCAAGATCACGCTTTGAATAAAGAATATTTTAGGCTTCGTATGGCCACTGAAACTTTTGAAGTTTGCCTTGCTTATGCGTATAAACTTCTTTATGCCCATGAGAATCTTGAAATGTGCTCCCATCCCCAGTTATAGAAAGAGGATCCTCTCTTCTTATTCCCCTCACACTTTTCCTTGGCAGTCCAGGCCACTCTCTTGTGTTTCCTGACCACAGCACATTTTCCCGGAGAATGGATTGCCCTGCAACACTCTGAGGCTGAGAGTAGCACACAGCAGGTTCACAGGGAGTGACCATCAGAGTTACATTTGTGCATAGTAGCGCCAGACCTAGCAAATAAAAATACAGGATACCTATGCAATATTCGGAGTATATTTATACAAAAAAATTATTCATTGTTTATCTGGAATTCAAATTTAACTGAAAGTATTGTCCTATATCTGCATTGCTACACATAAGGAAGTAAAAAACGCAGGGTGGAGGGAGAAAATTATCCTCTCTATGTTGGCAACTGAGGCTTCAGCTGATTCTAGAGGTGCTTTGAAGCTGCTACGGCCCTTCATATTGATTAGAATCGTGGCAAGGAGGTCAGGCCATTGTATTTCTGAATCAGCTAGTTATTGGCCTCAGGGTACCCTGGGAGTGAATGTCACCTTGGCAGTTCCCTAAGGGTAAGGGGCACAGCTTTGACCAGCTGCATATTCAGCAGCTGAGTTATGAGCACTGAAGAGGGAATCTGGACCAAGCATCAGGTTATCCTAGGTTTAAATGCTAACATCTTCAAAACCATTCATTTCCTTTTAGGTGGTTTACTTCTATATCTAATTTGGCAAGGCAGCTAAATATATTCTGAATGCTCTAAGTGCTACATTAAAACTAAAAAGGGCTGTTCAAAAGTAAGATGGCAGTACTTATTACAATAGTCCAGCTCTTCCCCATGGGATATATAGAGCATATTTGTTTAATTGTTCATCCTCTCATCTAGGCTACAATCTTCTTGAGGAAAGAAACCGGGTCTTATTTATCTCTGCATCCTTCACTTAGTGGCATATTTGGCATATAGTCGGTACTCAAACAATGTGGAAAACAGACAGGGAATAACTAAGCAAGCCATCCAAATGATAATTTACAGGAGTTAGACCCATCCTCTGTGAGGACGGAGGGAAGTGATATTAGGCCCCCAAATCAACGTGTGACATCATTTTAATTTTTCCTTTTTTTTTCTTAAGCAAAGCAAACCTGGTTCTGTGCTCCCTGGCCTTTGGGTCTCTTTTATAAGCAACTAATAAATCTTGACCAATCTCTGAATCATTCCGTTCACTAGATGTTTACTCAGTCACTGAGTACATTATTGTTTGAATGTATGATTCATGACATGTTTTATAGAGTTAAAGAGACATGGATCTTTTCTCACTTGGGTCCGTTTTGGAACTTTAGGAAACTTCTGGAAACTTTGATGATCTCCTTTCTAAAGGGAAGAGAACATTCTACATTCTGGTGAGAAGAACAAGAGGCTTCTATTTCTCTCTTAACCTGAAACCTCACCTCTTATGAATGTTTCCTTCCATTAATCCTTGAGTGAGTCACACTGATCCTTGATGATAATCCTCTGGTGGACATGCTTTCTCTCTTAGAATGAGTGTTAATATAAAGTAGTCTCCAGATTCCCTAAAGCCAGACTAGTGATCCCAAATTTTAACCACACTGGGTCTTGCCTGCACATCCTGCCTCTGGCTGCACACCCACCTTTACGCCTACAGCATGAAGCTGTGACCACAGAGGCAGACACTTGCAGGGTGGTCTTCTGAGCACACCCTAGGGGAAAGAAACATGAAATATTTATTGACTGCAGGCCAATGTTACAGGAGGGCTGGCTGAAACTATTGCAAGGGTGCCTCTATAACAACCAAAGTAGACACAGCAACATTTGCCAACCCCCTTAAATGTCCTGGGGGAGGTTTGTTTGCACTAATCCTAGCACTCCAAAAAGGAGCAGCTGTTCTCAGAGGAAGTCTGATATATATAATCCTTTATTTAAGACCAACAGTGGGAGGTGGTGTTTAATAAAAAAGGTGCTAAATTGTTAACAATTTTCTTGCTTCCAGGAAACAGGTTGAAAAAGAGCTGAAATGTTAAGCAAGACTCAGGATTATCTTTAATAATACATCTTGATTTTTTTAATTTATGCAATTGTTTCTGTGCTATAGACATCCTTGTCTTGGGAAATAAATTTGAAAAGCACCGATCAGTTTTTTTCCAATTTCTGAGCAATCTTGAAATCAGATCATATTGGTTTTCCAATCCCAGCTGTAAGGTATGTTTGTTATAGCAGATGGAGTTAGAAAAGCCTACAGACAATTTTCTTTTGTTTTATTAAATATCTATCTTTAAATAAGCATAGAAACATCTTGCATCTTTGATAACATCCTATAAGTTATTAAACAATTCAAAAATGCTAAAAATTCCCAAAAGAAGCATAAAAAAACTTGGGATTTACTTCTAAAATGTGTAATGTAAAGTACAGCTTAAGCTTTGGGGTCTATCCTGCTCAACAGTGACCCAACATACTAAATTCCTTAGGCAAGAATAAATGTCATTTTTAACCAACCAAGAACTGGATATCATGTTCTAAAGCTATGGTTCACTTCCCTAATATTATAAGGAAGAATGTAAATTTCCCTCAAAACAATGTTTTTAATTATATTCCCACAACCCCAGCATAATGCCAGGTATAAGGGGTTAAATGAACACTGGATGCTTTATGAGAAAATTATCAGTCGTTTCTGCCATAAATTATTAGCAATCAAGAAATCATTATTCTTTTAGTTTGCTTGGCTCCTTTGGACCTTGGAGTTTTCCTACACTGAGTTGATTTTGTATCATTAAACATTAAACTCCCTTGACTAGTCGAGAGATCTTGTAGTTTGTGCTCTGCACCAGCAAGGTGGGATGTGCGTGTATTTTTCTCATTTGTTCACTCCATCACTAAATGGTAAATGCTGAGAATCTTAGGCACACGATATCTAAACTCTCTGCCAGAGGTGATCTTTGTTTTACACAGTGATACAACTAATGTGGCAACATAATTAAATGGGCATGACTTTTCCTCCTAATCATAATTTACAGGAACTTCAGATCACAGATAAAATTTATGGTAGTTATTGCCATCACTGTTACTCTTTCATTACTTAAACAGAAAACATATTTTTATCCCCTTTGAAATGCATCTTTTATGCAAAAAACACAAGAATTGACTGAAACATACACTTTAACATTACTTTATGGTTCCAGAATTGGAACTTATTCTCTCACATGCTCCATTAAGATGGTGACTGTTAGAGAAGTCTTTGTATATTCTCCTTGTATAATTAATATTCTAGTATACAGGTACACTTAATCACAGACATTCTTTATTGAGACGAATGTAGGACAGCTAGCTAACTTTTAAAAATGTAAATATATAACCTGTGTCTGAGTATAGAAACAAGTTATAGAATGCCCACATCCTACAAAGACAGCCCTATCATAAAATGGAGTACTGTTGGGGAAGCTCAGCCATAATTGCACTCCAGAAAGTAAAAGACATTGTATTGCCTCCTCAGCAGAATTTCGCCTCCCTGTATACGAAAATCTGATAAATTGTCCAGTTTCCCGCAGAGGGAACGACAGAGAATTTAATGAGAAACACACTGGAACTGGACCTGTCACTGTGTGATTATGCATTCACTAATCTCTCTGTAGGGTACAGAAAAATGTCAGTCTTTTCTGAGAGAGTTTATCTAGGGAAAGGGAAAAACACATCTAGAAATAAATTACCAAAAAGAAATGTCTTTACTTTCCCACTGATACCTACTGGCATCCAACTAGACTGCTTGTTTGGCCTACAAATAGCAAAAGCATTGAGATTTGCATAGTAACCTATTTTTATGATTGCTAATGAAATCGAAGTGTCATATGATGACATGCATTGATACTTAAATGCAGCTGCAAGTGCCTGATATGTTTAGTTTGGTCTAAAAATTTGTGTTTGAGAACTTCAAGTACACGAGGAGGGGCAGTGAATGTTCTTACTTTTATTGTAGAAGATATTTTATATTTAACATGGGGTTCTCTTACTCATCATCATCATTTTTGTCCAGTAAATTTTATTCAGCACCTATATACATTGTAAAAGCATTTCTGAGCAACTAACATATGCCAGGAACCTATAATTATAATTATACATTAAGTTTTATGAATAACTAGAATATCCAATAGCTCTACAAAGTGTTTAAATCAGAGGAACACATTATTCAAATTTGCTTTTAGCTAAAAGCATTTATTAAGTTATTTTTATTAGCCTGATCTTAGGGTGGGAAATGAGAAATGATCGCAGATATATTCCCTCCAGAAGTTCAAAATATGAGAGTACATTGATGTAAATATCCACAAAGAACTACTAAAGAAGCACTGAGCAAGTCGAAGAGTGTCTTACTAGCTGAGTGCCTTATGCAAGGAGGGATCTCAGAAAACACTTCCTCAATTTTTGGGAAAATGAGAGAATGGTGACATAAAATTGTGTCCTGAGCTATCCTTATTTGGAGGAGTGATGTCAATAAGAATTACTCACATTTCTTCAAGAATTTCCAGAAGGGTTCATGGAGAATGGGAAACTTTAATCACAAAAGAGGTGTTTTTAAAATTGCATGTTTAATTAAGTAGAGCTATTTATTATCAACAATGATACCACTCTGACCATTCCCCCTTCAGGTTAATTAAAATTTTTTACATCCTTTATAAAATGTTAAGCCCAGAATTGATCCCAGCTTTGTAAATGTCTTAATCAAATCTCATACACTTACTCAGTGGATTCGTTTTTGAAACTAAGAAAAGGTCTTTTAAAGAGATCTATGTTTGTAACTTCATTGACAGCTTTTTTTTTTTTTTTTTAATGTGGTTGTCCATTTTCATCTGGACATAGATTTAATTTCATCAGAGGAGGAACCATGTCCCTTTTATGATCTCACAGAACTTTCAACATTTTATGACTCCTACAATCCCTGGCGATAAATCTGGAAATCAAGTTAGAGATCAAATGGTGAAGGACAAAACAGGTGTGAGAGTGACTTGTGGTATTTATGTCTGAATAAAGACAAAAACAATTTAAAAAACTAAAACATAAATGAGAGTTCTTGATTTATAATCTAATATTATTTGTATTGCATAAAATTGCTGAAGTACTGATTGATAATGTGTAGCACAGTTGACAGATTCAATGTCATAAAGATTCTTAGATGTAAAGATGCCTCAACTCAGGTTGGGTTGGCTTCTTGTTCCCTTCTCTACCCTGAGGCTTTCAAACAGGGCAGAGTAAGATGGGGGAGGTAACTCTTTTTCTCTACTAATACCTAATCATATAATCTTATTTCAAAAACTGGCCAGTACAATTGGATTGACAGAAAAAAAAAAAATAGGCCTTGTCCATTTATTCAGAAGTTTCTTTCAAAACTATTTAAAAATTTTATTGGCTTAACATAGATTTTACTTTATCAGAATTTAGATGTAGCAATGAATTAAATCTTAAAGGAGCTGTAGAATTCCTTTAAGAAGTTATTGTTTGCTTTCCATTGCAGCAATGTCTGCAATATTACTTTTTTTTTTTTTAATGAGTTCTAGAGACAATTTGCTGAGACTGTAAAAATGATGCCAGAAGGCAAGTTTTTGGTTAGTGCAATAGTTTCATTTTGTTATTGAAAATGGGATAAGTCATGATTTATTCTCTGCCTCCTTTGGAAGGTAAAAAATATGCTAATGCTAAGAAAATCATTATGTTTTCTATTTCAAGATTGATTTCATAAGAAATTTATCTATCAGATTTATGATGTTTTATCTTTAGCCACAATAAATACAAGCTTAAAAATAAAATAAATAAAACTCTTAGTTTTATATATGTAACTTTTATAATATATATATATAAACTTAGGAATAACTTCTATCAGTATCCCTCATTATTGTCACATGATTTTGAACTTCTGGACCAATATAATTCAGCTGAAATAATCAAGAAAATCAATATACACTTATATTCTCAAATTTGTTTCTTTAGAAGGAAGTGAAAATAGACTCTGTGAAAGAAACATAACAGTGTTGCTAAATCTTATTGAAAACCTCTATTTATCTCTATAGATGTTCCATATAAAGAAATCTTAAATAATTAAACATAATATAATTGATAAAACTGACATGTTATTCTGGAGGTGTTTGTCACCTATAGGCAAAATAGGCTTTTAAATATTAATATAAAATTTATTGTGTTTAGATGAACATAACCATAATCAAATAATTTTATTCAGTATTGGGTGGTTCTAGTTATTTAAAATAATAAAAAGCTACATAAGCAAGAACCCTTTTAGAATGTTGTAAGCATTAGTATAGACATATATTTATACATAGTTTATTTAATTTTTTTTCTGTACATAGTTTATTTAATTAATTGATGTAGGTAACTTAATGCTTAACTGAGCAATAATTAAACATCATTGTGCCTGTAATCCCACCACTTTGGGAGGCCAATTCGGGTGGATCACAAGGTCGGGAGATAGAGACCATCCTAGCCAACATGATGAAACCCCGTCTCTACTAAAAATATAAAAAGTAGCTGGATGTGGGAGCGCGTGCTTGTAATCTCAGCTACTCGGGAGGCTGAGGCAAGAGAGTCTCTTGAATCACGAGTTGGAGGTTGCAGTGAGCTGAGATCGTGCCACTGCACTCCAGCCTGGCAACAGAGTGAGACTCTGGCTCAAAAAAAAAAAAAGAAAAATTCATTGTGTATGGTGAGTAAAGAGAAGTGTAATTTAATATATTTTTTTAAATTTTAGCTTGGCTTTAAATTTTGAAATTAATGATTCCTGACTTGCATAATATATTTGGTAGCTATCTTTCACATTCATATGCTAATCAAATCAAACTAGGAGTATAAGGTAAACGATTACTTTTTAGATTAATGTAGACTACAAGCAACATTTAGCCTATACAACTTATGCATTAATGTGGCTTGCTGTTGACCATCATAATCACCTCTCCCTTCCCTAGTTAGGAACTTATGTTTATTAGTTTCTGTTTTACAACTTAAATTTTTCATGTGCCCTAAGAACTTGGTATACAGTGTGCAATGCTTAACAATAGATTAGAATCAACTAGAGTCATATTTTTAGTTTTATACTGTGTAAACACATAAAATGCCATTTGGATGAGAGTTGGACATATCTTTGTTTTAAAAATTTCATTGTTTTGTTTGTCCCAGAAATAGTTTAAAGTATAAATTAATTCAATTTTTTGTAGCTTTTAACTTTATTCCATTTAAAAATCATACATTAAGTGCAAAGAATGTTTAATGAGATAATTGGCTTTATAACAAAACACTATACTAATGTATACATGTGTTTTAGTTGATGGATGAGTTTTTTAAATTTATTATATATATATATATATATATATATATATGCACTGTTTTTCCATCAAATTAAAGCAAACTGCTTATATGGTAGCTAGTTCAATTTTGATGTTTCCACTTTGTGTTTGTGCACTGAAATAAACCGTAGTTTGCTTTAAGAAAAAAACAGTTTGTAAGTATACTTTAAACATGTTTAAATGCAAACCATGAAATTTCTATGAACTCTTTCGCTCTTACTATGAAAGCCATACATTTACCCATTAGCTATATGGTTTTCTTTTTTTGCTACATTTCTGAATGTAAGATAAACATTTGCATTTTGCAGAACTTTATTAAAATGATTACCTGAGAATAAATTTTATAAATTTTCTAAAGTTAAATTTTCTGTGATTTATATGTCCAGCAGTCAGTATTTACATTGAAATTAAATGCCATTTTCAACACATTGAATTCCCAAATTAGTTACCTCAATCAAAAGGCCAGTTTTTAAAATAAACATCAGAAGTTTCCTTATAAAAGGGCACATCTATTCACTGGAATGGCTATCTTCAGGAAGGCAAGCTCAAAGAGTGTTTGACTGAGTAATAAGAATATGCCTGACAATGGGACTTGGCATGGATAACTGTTAAACCATTCATCTCCTTCAGTTCTCTGTCATTTCTCTCTAAGTGTTTGCTCCCTGTGGATCTATACAGTGGGATAACAGAGTCATAGAAGTATTTTTAAGCACTCCAATTTCATAGTGTAGACTTGACGGACAGAACAAAATTTATTCCTCCAGCTGTTCAAGAATGAGGGCAAGGGGTATATCAAAAGGGAAATGAAGGCAAGACAGACGTAGATCTCAATAAATGTTGCAAACTTAATGTACTTTTACCTCTAAATCCTTTTCCTTACCTCCCAAATTTAATTCCATCAAAATGTCCTTATATTTTATCCTTGCTTCTAACCCATCATATTCCAGCCACCAAAGGTGTAGGATTCCACATAATGTCATGAATTTACATACACATACACACAAATCCAAGCTGAGCCTTTGGTGCCATGAAAAAAGAATTTAAACATATTAAAATGTAAAAGTAAATATATTATCTGAGGTATGGCTAGAAAAAAAAAGTAAAAAAGTGCAGTGAATAGGAAAAATGTAAAAGAGTTCCACATTACAAATTAGCTATAAACACATTTGTAATTCATAAACAGCATAAAATGATTGCTTATGTCATATTAATTAAAATAATAAAAGTAAGAAAATAACGCTCAATGCAGAGGTACTTTTAAGGAAACAAAACAAAAAACAAAAGTTAACAAAATATTTTATCTGCATCAAAATATTCTTTGGAAACCAAAAATAAAAAATGTTTCATGTATGTTCTTTCAGGTTGATCTGTAAAAGTCAGAAAAATACATAGCCCATGTTATTTAACTTTCCAAAAATACAAAGTTCTAAATATCCCTTAAGCATAAAGCAAAAGGCTTTATGTCTTGCTGAACTGAAGCAATGTGCTCCCTGTATTAGACAAAGAATTCCAGTTTTCTTCCTATCAAAATACGTTTTGTTTCCGTCACACTGAAACAAATGATGTGACTTCAACACAGTGTAAGTATAGCCGAAGCTGTGTCCAGAAATGTTTCTTCAGAACTCTGAAGACACCTATAGAAACTCTTGAGGGGAAAGAATGATTTCTCACAAGGCCAAGAGGAATATTATCCAAAGCGAAACTTGAGTCTGTATTTCACTGTGTTGGGAGTTTTCCGAGGTGCAGAAAGGGGAACCTTTGGCTTGATAGGGCTAGGTGGCTTTTTTTTTTCAGGAACAGTCACCGTGAAAGAGAGTTCTGGCTGCTCGGAATGCTTGAATCTTGGCAGAAAATGGGTAGAGATGTGCTGGGGTTTCACCCGGGGGCTGCACCCTCGTTTGGCTTTTCCTCTTTTATTCAGGGCTACGTACCACTCCCGCCCTGTTTTTTCAGTTCTGTGTATTGCTGAGGCGTAAGTATTATAGCTGTTTTCTTGAAAACGCTCCCTGAACTTGCAGTCATCTGTGAACTTGGCCTAGGGAGGAGAAAAAAAAGGAAATTCAAGTTGTGGCAATATTTTCAGTATGTAATAAAATATAAGAGCTTGTAGAAAAAAAAAAGAATTTTGTTGATGTCAGTGCCTTCTACTCCATTTCCCTTTATAAAGATATATTTGCTTCTTTTAAAGTTGCTTTAAAATTACTACTTTTGTATCTATATTTCTACTTCATTTATCTTTGTATCACATTTCTGTTCACTACCTACTTGGTGACACTAATATCAATGAATATAAAAATAACCAGAACCCTTGATACATTTAAACCCGTTACTATTGTTTAAATACTTTGAAACTTATAGTCACAAATCTTTTAACATACTGTTTTTCTTCCTAACTCACCAAGAAAATAAATAGAACTATACTATTAAGAAACAATTGCCTGGTAAAATATAAATTCCTGTTCAGAGAAACAGGGTCAAAATGATTCCTTTGAAACAAGCATGCATTTCTTCAATATTATCAGTGTGATTCATGCCGCTGAGAGAGAAGTAGCAAACAGCCCCCATTAATATTGCCCGTGTTAGAGATGTTTAGGGAAAAAAAGGTATCTTTATTCAGGCAATACAGGAAAGTATATCTGACTCCAGGAAGGAAAAAAGTCATTGAAGTCACTAACAATACTTTGTCCAGATCTTACACACACACACACAAAAATCTGCCCTTGAAATACTTACAGAATAGTGGAAAAGCAGACAAGTAGACATCCGTCATGGTGCAGCTTGATAAATGGAATTATGACAGCGGTATGCAGAGGGTACAATGACAGCATAGAGGAAGGGCATCTAAGAGGGTGGAGGTGGCCAAGAAGAGGGCAGAAAAGTCTTCCTATAAAAGGTGACATTTGAGCTGAGTTTTCAAGTACAACTAGGCATTAGGGAGGCAGGCAAAATAAGAAAGGATTTTCAGGGAGAAGGAACAGTGTGTTCAAAGGTCAGCATGACACTTTCAAATACCTGTAAGTAGTTCAGCCTGACCTCTACTTGAGATGTATGTGAGAAGTAAGGAGATGAGCCTGCCAATGTAGGTCACCACCAGCTCTGAAAGGGCTTAGTTAGCCATGTTGTGAAATCTGAAGGAATTTGTGGGAGAATGGGGGAAGAGTGTGAACTTAGAGTCAGACATTCAATCAAAAACCATTTCTGCCAATTAAGCTCTTCGCCTTAGCTTCCTTATCCATAAACCTTATGCCAATAGAGCTATTATAATAATCCAGATATTTTTCTAGGGAGGAATCTGTAGCTTTCACCAAACTTGAAAGAGTCCATAACCCCCAAAGAAATAAGAATTCCCGTACTAGTTCAGACTACTAGGTTTTATAATTTCAAGGAGTACTATTTACACAGAATTCCTGTGTTTGAGAATATAAAATACTTTGTCCCCTATATATAAAAGCACTAAAAGCTACATACTTCTATGTCAAATCAAGAAGATTTATACGGAAATAAAATGGCCTTTTTCCCCTTGCTTTTTCAATAATGCCAAACTTTTCTTTGGAATACTGATCATAACACTGAAATCCAAATATCTGAATATTGCAAGGCAATCTACATAGATCCACTGTTTTAAGTCCACATGGAATTTTTGAGTAGTGCAAGGTACTGACAGTATTAGAAGTCAACCAATATCAGAGAATTTCCAACTGCACATTAACTTTATGTATAATAGTTTACTGGAGTTACTTATATTTAAGTGTAGTTCAGTCAACAAAGTTCTATTTGGGGGTTATGAAGCCGTATATGTAGATCTTCGACAAGTCTACTAGTGAATCTCTGGATAGGATCTCAAGCAGGCTGAAGACAGGTGTTTTTTGTTTGTTTGTTTTGTTCTGTTTTTGTTTTTTCTTAAGACAGAGTCTCACTCTGTGGGCCAGGCTGGAGTGCAGTGGCACAATCTCTGCTCACTGCAACCTCTGTCTCCTGGGCTCAAGCAATTCTCCTGCCTCAGCCTCTCAAGTAGCTGGGATTACAGGCACACACCACCATGCCCAGCTAATTTTTGTATTTTTAATAGAGACAGGGTTTTACCGTGTTGGCCAGGCTGGTCTCGAACTCCTGACCTCAGATAATCCACCTGCCTCGGCCTCCCAAAGTGCTGGGATTATAGCTGAAGGCAGGTATTTTAAAGAATCACCACCTAGGTGTGGCATCCCTCTCAACCTGTCTTACAATACACCTTGCCAGCCTGTGTTTAGGCCAGGACTGCTATGCTGACATCAGTTTTGAAGATCACACATTGACTACTCCTGTGTTTTATTAGAAAGACTTGCTTACAAATTCATTGTAGATTTGTCTACAGCTGCTTAGTTCTTAAAAGGTCTTTCCCATTTAAGTAGATAATCCCAATATATTGTTTTAAAATAAAAGCTATAGACATCTGGAATGTTTCTGGCTCTATAAAAGGATAAGAATTTAAGGAAGTTGTGAAACATTTCATTTAAAAAAGTATCATCAGGTATGTTTACCTTGTCTCAGGTTTGTTTTTTTTTTCTTAAAATGAAATTGAATGGCATTTTTGAAAATGCATAATACATTATGCCTTGACCTGACTTCTACCTCTGTTTCACAAAAACAGCGGTGATTGCTTTAGTCAATTTTGACAGTTAGGTTTTTAAAATGTACTACATTATTTAATATTTTCCCCCAACAGTGTTCAAGAAAATAAAGAAAGAACATGTCATTTTTTAATTGATGCAGATGACAGGCACACATAGGCATGCACAGGTGCATGTACAGACACACTCCACAGCATTTTCTTTAAAAGAAATCTATATCATTTCCATTTTCGAGTCTTTCATTTGAGTGAAACCAACTGCCCCACCCCCTAAAATTATTTCATCTGAAATCTTTCTGTTTTCCTCCTCAATATTCACATTCTAAAGTTCTTTCTCATGAGGAGCCCTTTAAGGAGATGGCTATTCGGACTTTAGATTTTTCAAAGGTCACCTAACTGTTACCCAGCGTAGAAATGTCTGGAGTTCTAAGAACCCACACACTACACACAGCCCGTCAGCCATCCAAATCCTACATTCTACATTAATATGGGAGTAAATGCAATCAGACTGGTTTGGCTTTCTAAATTGACTTTTAATTTAATGTTTTGTTTGAAAAATTCTTCCAGCTATGATGGAACACAGAATCATTTGAAACAAATATTTCAGTGAATTTATATATCTTGAAGGATTGACTATTTCTGTTAATATTCCAGGTCATACTCAGACAAGATGATGACCCTAAGCAGGTCATAGGTCTTAGCTACAGATAGTGAAATACATACCTTTACCGTTAGAAAATTTTGGATAATAAATTTTCCAGGCCGATTTTTATTTTTTAAATCTTCTTTTAACTATAAGAAATGCTTTAATAAAATATACACCTTTAAAATAATAGGAGCCAGGTGCGGTGGCTCACACATGTAATCCCAGCACTTTCACAGGCCAAGGCAGGCAGATCACAATGTCAAGATACTCAGACCATCCTGGCCAACACGGTGAAAACCGCATAAAATAATAGAACTGCATTACTTTTTTCAGAAAAAAAGAAAAAACTGAAGTTGACAAACAGACTTTTTCTATAGTTAAGAGTATGAAGCAGAGAGGTGAATCAAAATTCAGATAAGTTGCTGAAATCGAGATTCCTTCATTTAATTGTTTTACTACCATCAGCCACTACAATGAAAGCAATTGTTTAAATATTTGTTTTTTTTTAAATGCTATCTTTGTTTTATATTTATTTTTCACTAATTTATTCCACAGATGTTTATTGACTGTTTATCATTTGCTAGGCACTGTGCTAGGTGCCACTTTTACAGTGGAAATCAATATTGGCATGGCCCTGCCGATATCGTTAATGTAATTTAAGTTTTTGTTGACTTAAATTACATTAAAATTTCTTTCATTTCTCCTAGATCTGGCAAGAATAAAAACAAGTTACATTCAACAAGCCATAATTGCAAAACTAAAATGAAATGTTTATAATAGGCATTTTTTATAGTTTAGTACACTCCTAATTGACCAAAAAAAAAAAAAAAAAACCAACAACAACAACTTAAATCAAACTATTTTTTCTCGAATATCCAAATTATTACAAGGAGAGGAAACACACTACTATTGAGGGAAATAAGAACTTTCTGCTGGCCATGGTGGTTCACACCTGTAATCCCTGCACTTTGGGAGGCTGAGGTGAGAGAATCACTTGAGGTCAGGAGTTTGAGGCCACCCTGACCAACATGGTGAAACCTCATCTCTACTAAAAATATAAAATCAGCCAGGTGTGGTGGTGCATGTCTGCAATCCCAGCTACTTGGGAGGGAGAGGCAGGAGAATCGCTTGAACTTGGGAAGCGGAGGTTGCAATGAGCCAGAATTGTACCATTGCACTCCAGCCCAGGAAACAAGAGCAAACCCCGCCTTAAAAAAAAAAAAAAAGAAAGAAAGAAAAACAAAAAAACAAAAAAAACTTTTTTACTAGAAGGAAACTGTCTTGGCTTTACTCATGTCTTCTTAAGGTGAAGGATCCATTTTAAACAATGTATATTTTTTGAAAGGTCAAATTAAATTCAAAGAAAATACAACTCTGATTAACTACAATATTCCAGAAATGACTAATTCTACCAAGTTGGAATTAAACAGAAGTTCAATTAAACCAAATAAATTGTTTATAAAATGATATTAAAAAAAAAAAACTCCCTACATCTCTTCTTGTAGTTTTGTTCTTTAGTAAATATCACATTCTATGATGATTGAGCAGCTTGTATGGTATGAATTAAAGCTGTGCAAATACCAACTCTCATGTGCAACTACAGAAGTAAATATGCAGTATATGAGATGTAGAAACAGGAGTGATTTTGAACAGACACCAGTGTAAACTTTGGAATTTGTGTGTATTTAATCAATTTTAATAATTTATTTCATTTTGTTTCCTTTGATTTGCTTCTTTCTCCTGAAAAACCTTATAAAGTTAAGAAAAAAATAACCGAATC